ATTTCCTTCATATACGCCAGCATTATCGATGCATTTAAGACTTTATTCGTAAGTAACTTCCTATTCATCCATGGAAACAACTTTTCATATTCTTTATAATATAATAGGCTTTACTCGATTTTGATTTTACACCTACCAACGTTTGTTTAGATTTTACAACAAGAGATTTAAAGGTGTATTATCTTTTTCAATGGAAATCGTTTTATTCACAAAGACGATTATTTTTATAAGCAAACGTCAAGCGACGTTTCCATGGCAATCGTGAAGTTCCGAATACCCAGCCCACTTAATTAGACATGTATTCGAGTATAACGTCAATATGATTTCATCGTATTTCCTATTTTTAAATTATACTGCAGATATAATAAAAAAATGCTATAAGACACACGTGTAATTGGTCTTTAAAGCACTTGCAACGTTAAAAGCACTCCGCTTCGCGTCGTGCCATTAAACTCGTTGCGCGTGCTTTAAAGACTTGATTATACACTTGTATCTTAATATACTATTATTAAATATTGAAATTTGTTATTAACATTAAGAAAATCAAATACTTGTTTCCACACTTTTCCGAAAACAGCAAGGCGGCCGTGGTCGGTAGTGTCTGGTAAATTCGCACCCGAAAATTTTCTCTCGAAATATTCGCCCCAGGATTCGCCTCCATGAAGATTCTTCTCAAGAGTTTGCCTTCGAAAAAATCGCCCTCTTAAGATTGCCTCCTCAAAATATTCGCCTCCAGAGATTCGTGCGCGGAAGATTTGAACCCAAGAAAACTTGCCCTCGGAGTATTTGCTCCCAGAAGATTTACCATCGGAAAATTGCCAACAGTATCTTCTCCCGATTTTTCCGACAGAAACCTGGGAGGTCGAATTTTTCGAGGGAGAATTTACCGGGGGTGAATATTCTGGAGGAGTAATATTTGGGAGGCTCATATTCCGGAGACGATTTTACCGGAGAGAATTTCTTGGGATACACTCGAAAATCCCATTAATGAAAGTAGACAAGGTGTACTATCAAGTATCAACCCACTACATCTACCATTTAAGCGAATATTCCGAGGGCAGATCTTTCGAGAGCGAATCTTCCAGCGGATAATTTTCCGGAGCGAAACTTGCGAGGGCTAATTTTATGTGCGGGTATTATCTGGGACAAATATTCCTTCAATCCCCGGCCGTACATTGAAGACAAGGGTAATGATGACCACAGACTTTAGTACACTGGGGTGCAATGAATTCTGAAGAAGTATCATTGAATTAAAAGTAAATGGAGACACCAGGTACAATGATTTACTTTTAACTCCTTTTTGCAACCAATCAAGTTAACTAGTGGAGGTGTACCTACTATTTTACATCATGTACGTATCTACCTAAAGGTGACAATCTAATCTATTACTTACCACTTTACTATCCATACAACAGGAACCAACGGTAAATCATATTAATCCGAAAGATTTTATTATATAATCTTTATCGTTTTCAACAATTTTAGCAAAGTTTAAACGAAGATGATACCCACTTATCGTTATAATTCTCTAAACCTAATTAGTTAATTAGTTTTTTATAATTGCCCCCAAAATTCAAACGTAATCCTATTGGTCTTATTACGACATAGTTCTTGCAGCAATCAGCACATTTGTGTGAGGCCACAAGAGTAATGGCCGTTCACAACCAGCTGGAGACGTTGATAAATTATTAGCAGTTTGAAAATAGCCGGTCTTCATTTGCAGGAGAACGTTTTAAATTCCGCATTTTTTCTCGTCAAAATTTGGTACGGCAAGTCTCTCCCTTTTAGTATTTATCATGGACCGCTGTACTTTTGGCGACACGGTTAAATAAATTATAACGTTTAAGTACCCTAACCAAGGATGCCCATCTAATTAAAAACTACCGAATGGATTGTAAGTAAAACTGTTGTAAATATGTAAAAACGGTTTTTTTAAAGAAATGTGTACATTATTTTATTCTGGTAGCTCATTACGTATAATTTCAACAACAAGAAGTAGAAGATAAGTACATATACATGTTTAATTCTCCTGTAGATACACTAATGACTAATTTGGATTGCAAATTCATTTCATTTAGGTACGTTATAAATAAATCGTTAACCAAAAATATGTTTTCGATCAAGAGATTTCCCTCCATTCTAAAAATTGAATATTTAAATTAGAGAGCTAGACTGGTAATCTAAATATAAACATTTTTTTGGGGCCGCTGTGTATGTCAGGACATACTCTCGGTTATAGTTTCTTGCGGGTATCATCTACAAATTCTTGATATGCAAGACAGTACAATGGAAGCAGCGGTGTTCTAACGACACCCTACGCTGCACAATCTGATTGTGTATATCGCGATCTGCATTTTGCAAGATGTTCTACGTATTCCCCTTGTGACAGACCGATTCCTTTTTTTAAATGTTTCAAAAACTTTTTGCATTAATTATGTTTTTTTGTCTTAATGCAGGTATAGACTGAGTAAATGTACGGTTTAATTTATAATTACAACTATATCCGTGGTATTACCATAAATGCAAAATAATCTTATATTAATCAACATGAAATTTATACTTGCCTTTGTATAAGTTTGATTTGTATTTGTTTTAGACTTAACAAATTAACATTTACCCACGCTCTTTCATTGTGCTATGATAATCGGCTGGATTTTATCTACTCTAGCTATGCTTCTATACAAATGTCACTTAGGTGTTAACATACGCTTTTGAAGCGATACGCTGCAGTCTTGGTAGTGTGATGCGTTCGCAATTGCACGTTTTACTTATCGCAGATTGTCACATTTTCTCGTATTGTGAGCACTCTAAGTGAGCAGTATAACAGGAAATAAATTGGAATTATAGATTTAATCTTACGTATTTCTAATTGTATACTGGAGATATTAATTAAATACGAAATTCCTCCCGATTGCATCTTCAGTGAAATCTTTCACGTGGTCTTGTACAGTTTTATTTACTGTTACACTTTAAGTTGAAGTAGGTACCTAAAACTGATTCTTTAGTTTTGCATAACTCGAATTTTCATAATAACATTTAATTGTGGTAACGTGATTAATACCAGAAGAGTACAAAACATGTTTCAAATATAAACAAAAAATTGCACCTACCTTAATAATTAAAACAGTTGCGTTTAGTAAGCAATCGTGATTAATTTATGCATTAATTTACCTACCAAGGTACGCCTTATACCAGACGATCAATATATCTGCTTGTACATGGTAGCTTACTATTTTAAACTTCTTCGATACAAAGGTGAAGATTAAGTTTATGTGGAGGGTGTAGTAAAAAGCTTACCTATTAATTCCCAGATATGTACATATTAAGGTCACCCAGTGTCGGTGAAAATGTGATCGAACAATCCAAAAACATATTCAGCCAAACATGTGTGAGTTTGCCTAAAATATTTTCAACTGGGATACACATAAGAATAGATATAGGTACTTCCTACGAAGGAGGACGGTCGTAACTGGTTACATTACAGCATAACGAAATGAAATCTAAAGATGATTGATGTCTTTGAATCTACGTTACCTTTCCACATTTAAGAGTCTTCTGTAAGTAAGCTCAACTTTTTTGCATTACCAGTTGCGAGAGACAAGATGATATTCTTGCTTTGTCACCTGTCTTGCTCCTTAGTTAGTTACTGCCGACACTGTGCAGCGCCGCCACTTGCTATATACACTCAAATTGTGTATTTATCGCCCGCCAAGATACAGACGTTATTTACAAAAAATATGATTTCATTTTTTGGGGTAAAGTGTAGAAGTAACATATCTATAAAACTGTCGGTAATTCGGTATACTTTTTCCATAAATTGTCTTGATCGGGAATAAAATAATAAAACGAATCGCAATAATCGGTGCAAAACATCTAATCTTTAAACAATCGGTATTCAGTTGCTACAAACTTTTTAAAAAAAATAGTCCGAACATTTTGTAGATAAAGGTCTAAATTTATAAGATAGTTCTTAACGAAATTTTTTTTAAAACAACTTTTCTGGCGGGCGCTCTTATGGAAACTTAATTGGGTGCAGCCGTACAGAAGTCTCAAATGATAACCTTGTAATCTGTACTTGTATGCTGTGTTCCCTACTAAGGCGTCTGATCACAGCTGCCTGACCCAAAATGACGTGAACCCAGTTAGAGAACTTGGAAGATCGGTTGTCTTGTACCCACTTTATACCAATGTTGTTGCTTGTTAGCCTCGTGGTTGTTTTCTAAGAAAAAAATTAGTTTAGAAAGTAATTTGGTTTTGGAATTTTGCGTGTGTCACCCTATAGAACCAAGACTAGAGCAAAACAATGCCAAGCTTAGTCTTGATGATTGCAGTTACTGTTAGGGGTATTTTTTTGTACAAATTCCATATACATGTTTTTATTTACTGCAATACATCAGCAGTAGAGGGCTTGATCAACCACTCATTCATTTCGTTGAAAAGGAAATTTTTAGCGCAAACGCTTCGTTTCCCATGAAAGCTTGTTACATAGAGCTTAGCGCTTTCATAAACATGTGATTCTATTTTCTAACCAAATTTGAACATGAAAAGCACATTTTACAACTCAGGGTATACGATGATAATACATTTTCATTCACATTTGACGCCATTTCTAAGAGGCGTGAAAGAAAATAAATATTACAGCGCCACCTCTTATCACGACAACAAAAATGTTTCCGATAAATGCTTGATACTTTTTTGAGTAGAATCGAGATATGAAATAAAAAATCTGGGTTTTCATTTGAAATTACAAAGTTGCCCCCCTACCCGAAGTGGGGATTGGGTTATCCAATTTTTGCTACATGACATCGGATCGGTAAACGATCAACTGATAATCTTTGGCAACATTTTAGTTATTATGGTATATTGAAAGCATTGCGATGTCTCTGTCACGCTGCCATCAATACGCGTAATTTAATTCATATTTTGGAGGAAATAAGTAAACCAACACTATAGCATGGCAAATTAAAGAGGTTTTATATACGTTTATCAAATTAAAACCGTCTTATTAAAACCGTTTATTAAATGCAAGTGTGTTATTAGAGAGAAACAGATGTCATTAACTTATTAAATCCGTGAGAATACTATTCATAGCCAGTGGGTTATCTGCAGGTACCTGAAATGCAGTTAATTAACAGCCGTAGTCACAATGTGAATAAAAACTTACCATGTGACCAGCCCTGTTAACCCAGTAAACTGCAAAATTTCCGAGTTTCTTTTGGTAACCCTCATTAACCCCATTCACCGATAGTACTGTTCTAGGAACTGTTGACCATTCTCTGCTTCTTGACCATTTCATGTTGTCAATCCACACTATTGTGCCAGGCGTATCAACAATAAGGTCTAATTGACCAGTAACTACCTGTACCTTTAGATTCGTTTTGTCTAATACTTTTGCAACTATAAACTACTGTTTTAAGTACTTTGTTAACGAATTTGCACATATAATTACCTATGTCAACAACAGGCTTCATAAAATCTTCCCCCAATGTATTGAACACTGCTCCACTTGTATGGCCCCATGTTACGTTCAACTTGAGTGCTTCCCTTATTTTTCCGTTCATTAGCAAACCAATTTTGTAATCGACCTCGTCCACACATTCTGGAATTCCAGGTTTTGCAATAAGGCTTCTGCCAACTTTTCGACAGTGAGAGTTGATTTTTTTGAGGATGTTGTAAAAATCAACGTCATGAGCGACGTTCATAATTATATTTTCGGTGTTTGCCCATGAATTTGTTGCCTCTTGGTACTTTCCGTCCTCTAAATATTTTTGTGTGCGCCTTGCACCGGCATCTACTTTCTGATAACCTTGCTGATCTATGGCACCCTTAAATATATCTGTCGGAACTTGATGACATAATATAACGGTAATACTTACAACATTAAGTAGGAATGGTGCCCAGTTTAGCACAGAATCTATTGGCGATATCCAAGCGTCGATCATGTTTACTCCTTTAATGTTGGGAAATCCTCTCTGTAAAATACACATAATTGCAATTTATTTACTTAAAAGTACCTGCGAGTTCACCTTAAATAATTCTAGCGCAAATTCTGCAGCCATTTTCCCTCCATACGATTCCGATGTGATGTAAAGGGGTACGTGGCGAAATTCTGGCCTTCTCTTATAAAACCCTTCGAGACATGCTACAAGATCGTCCGCAATTTGCTTGTTGGTTGTTGTCAAGTACTTTTTGTCATCAACGTAGCTGTATCCTGTTCCAACGGGATTATCAATGAAAAGAAGGTTCACATCGTTCACCCACGTATGATCTCTACGATTTAGATTTTCATCTAAAGGTCCAATTTCCGCGAAATTTCCGAAACCAGTAGATGAAGCGCCCGGACCGCCTTGTAGCCATATAACAAGCGGTTTTTCGGTGATATTAGCTACATGCGCTGTTGTTTCGTATAACCACCAAAATTCGTAGGCGCCAGACCTTACCTCAACGTGACCCCAATCTTGCTCCCCGGGTCCAAATCCTTGACGACCTAAAATAATGTATAAAATGGTTATTTTGATGCTTTAAAGAAAAAAATAAATGACATTATATCAATGGGATACCAATAAAAATGTGTTAATGTATTGGGATTTACGTGTAATTACCATAGCCTGTGGCTGCTAGCAAGCAAACGAGTGCAAGAATCTTCATCACGCGTTGTAGGATTACTCAGAAGTAAATCATAAATACATTTGGCCGGCTTTATATACCTCCTATCCCATGTGTGTCCTTCGTGTTTAAGTAGATAATGCACTTAAAATTTTATATGATAGTACCCGCATAACCTTCATTTGCAAAATTATTTTAAAAACTTTGTGCAATTTGCCAATATAATTAAATAGAAAATACTGATATGCAAACAAAATGAAAAAAGGAATTTGGTAACAGTTACACTGTTAATAAAATATGATGAAAGAACCAGGTTGTTAATGTGTATTTCTCCATGGTTCAAAATTTATCGGTGATAAGTGATAAGAGTAAATAAAATTTAATGAATCTGCTGTTTTTTATCATTGATTTCCGTTTTGTCAGTCACCTGTGGTAATTATAGACACAATCAGTTGGTTGAATATTTATATCCTTGGTTGCGGAAATCAGTATGAATTTCAGTTGCTTGTAACTCAAACCAATAATTACATAGCGTTTCATAATGTTCTTCGGGGTTACGAAGATCCCGTATAAAAGAACTATTTCACTTACCTAAACGAAAGTTGTACGGTAATACGGCACACATCGAAACGATATCGTTCGGCATTGGTGGGATAAACACGTTGTCTTTCACCCCAGAGAAAGAAGTCACATGGCGTCAGGTCTGGTGATCTTGGTGGCCACGTCAAATTCTAAAATTCTAACACATAAAACGACTTCTCGCTTCCCGTGGCAGCCATTTTCTCTACTGTCTACACTAAGCGCGCAATTGGTTAACTACCTGGTTATATGTGGAAAAAAACTATTTGAAGTGCTCTTTCGCACAGTCGTGTTTCATTCTTATACGTGAAATACTTTTTTTGTACTAAACATTATGAAACGCCCTGTACATAACTGCGCGATATGGTGCAGTTATGCACTAGTAAGTGTTTGTTAGGTGTCAAGTGTTTGCCATTAATAGCATGCTAATCATTAGCAATTGATTTTTGGTAAGTTTTAGAGATATTTCTAAAATCGAGATTAAATATTTGAAGGGCCTACTTCAGGAAAAAATAGATTCTGCAAGCAAAACAAATTACATGAAAATATGGAGGATGCTGAAAAAATTACGACACTATATACGATTCGGAAGGATTGCCTGAACCAAAAATATTCACATTTCAATATAATTTTGGTCCAGTAAGAAGTTTAGTATTCTATTTAATCATATTTTCCTACAAATAGTTAAATAAATTGATTTCCTAAAAAAAGCTTTTCTTCGAATGTTTGCGCTAGTTAATGACAAAACAGAAATCAATGATAAAAAATAGCAGATTCATGGTAATGTAGTTTGAACCTACACATAATTTTTGATCAGATTCACAGTGCAATTGTTACTAAATTCCTTTTTCAGTTACCGTAGGTCATTTATTTTTGTTATTCTTTAATTAAAACAATATATGAGCATTTTATAGAAATAAAATTATTTTAGATCGCCAAGGACTTAGAACAGGCTTGTCAGCTTGAATTGAAGCTGAGCATGGTTGCCAAGTCCAAATACAGTGGTATTAGGTTTATCAGCAAACTGCTTTTTGTTATGAAGGCATACTTTTATGTTCATGGAATCAATGCAAAATGCTCGTTGGCGCTCTTAACAAAAAATGTTTGCTATCCTCCAACAAAGTTTCATTATTAACCCCAGAAATCGCAACTACTTGGGAAAACTAAAGCAGTAAATTATTTAGTTCTAAAAACCATTTCTTTTTGCTGCTGCAACAATATGCATGTAGCAATTCTAAATTTGTTACCACAAGGAAGTCATTTTTTTCAGTGAAATTACATGAAAATATAGAGAATGTTGAAAAAATTACGACACTATATTGCACGATTCGGAAGGATTGCCTGAACATGAAAAAAATATCCTCGTTTCTTAAAAATATTCAGGAGTTTAGTTGAGAGTTTATATTATGGATTAGTTTTGACATTTCAATATAATTTTGGTCCAGTAAGAAGTTTAGTATTCTATTTAATCATATTTTCCTACAAATAGTTAAATAAATTGATTTCCTAAAAAAAGCTTTTCTTCGAATGTTTGCACAATAACTTCCACAACAGCTAGTTAATGACAAAACAGAAATCAATGATAAAAAATAGCAGATTCATTAAATTTCATTTAGGTACGCTTGGCATGTATCACCTACAAAGTTTGAACCTACACATAAACAACGCCATTCTTTGATCAGATTCACAGTGCAATTGTTACTAAATTCCTTTTTCATTTACTTTACATGTTACCGTATTTTCTAATTAACTATATATCCCATTGATATAACAATAATATAAACGTCATTTATTTTTGTTATTCTTTAATTAAAACAATATATGAGCATTTTATAGAAATAAAATTATTTTAGATCGCCAAGGACTTAGAACAGGCTTGTCAGCTTGAATTGAAGCTGAGCATGGTGCCAAATCCTTTCAACTCCTTTTCAAGAAACCATTCCGTCTCTTGGTGTTCCTGTCGAGATGGAAGATGCAAAATAAAATTGTAAATGTTTCTTTTGTCACACCAACCCCAAATGAGTCGAGCAATTGTGTTAAGGTTCTGTAATCAAACATTTCCCATACATACGATTAATCGTAACAATGGCAATGAAGACTCAGAGCAAAACATTTTAACCCAAATAAGATTTATAATGACTCTAATTCATTAATCTGAGTACTGTGACTTTGTTTCTGTGACTGGGACTAAAAACTAAAAGGGTTGTTACCATTACCACAGAAAAATTTATCTGTGCCATTACAGTATGCTCCCCAACTGGTTTCGATGCAGTAGTAAACATTCTATACCGAAAGTGTCAGAACGAATAGGATTACATAAAACCTCCAATTTACTGAATGTAAGAAGGAAGCTCTCAATTTAGCCTAATCATTTTTGAAGGATCAGTGTAGGGCTAGGTATCTTTTGTATAGCTGGGCTGGGGCTGCAGATACCAGAGATCCAACAAATCTTGAGAATTCTAAACTTTACACCCTTGTACAAGAATGAAATGTTTGTTAAGCTTAATCAATTTAAAGCGTCTATCCCGTGGAGAGATAAAGAGATCGTTCTGGAATTATAAACAAAACCTGCAATTCTGGTTAGGTATAAACAAAGATAAATGGGCTATTTTGTCTGTAGTATAAAAGGTTACTTTTGTTGGAATTCACCATAAAACCTATAATTATGTCAAGTAGCTATACTGTTTTCGTTACGTTGCCAATGCACTCTGATTTTGTTCTGCGTAACTGGAGCTAGACAAACCACAGAACATAAGCATTTTTCTCTAAGCAGACTCGGGACAAGTTTTAAAATGTTATGAATCCCAGTGTACATAGCTCAACCCGCAAGGGCAATAGCTCCATTTGCATAACCTACCATTGAAACAAAAACGTAAATATTTTCTATGGCAGGCGTGAATGGGTGAATTTTTTGGGTCCACAGTAGCCTCCCATTTTGAAATGAGCAACCGTAATAAAATTATTAAGCTGCTTAAATTCAAAATCAATCTAAGTACTAGACCAATTTAGCTTCCACTTCCATACTGTCATTTTTGCCTAACAGGCTCAAAATATCTGGTGGATGCATGTTCCCAGACTCGTCTGCTGTAAGCTCCAATTGTTTCATCTGCAAATCGGGATTGCAATAAGGCAACAAATCAAGAACCACGGTCTTACACAACCAAAAAGCTTTGAAGCTAAGAAAGGGTAAGGCCGCTTTACATTATAAGATCAAGTGTAATAATGACATAACTGAGTTCACTGTCAGTTTTGTAGGGTAAACACCCTAAAAAATGCCCTTATAGATACATGAACGCTATACCACTCTACTATCTGCTACTTCCACAATAACAAGAAGAAGGGCCAGGGGAACGTAAGGTGTCAATCTACCACGTGCTCCTGGCGACGAAAAAGGCGGCCGGCTCTTTCTCTAGTCGTTGATCTATTTACTTTAACAAAAATCCAAAGCAGTCTTAACAATCTGGAGAAGGGTTGCGACTCCATGCGCATGCGCAAACTACGCAATATTTATGGATATATTTCTTTGAAATTTTAATCACAGATGCTTCTAGTAAAGACAAGCATATCGCATGCTGTAAAAATCAGATGTTCGCACTGCGCAACGTTATTTCTCTTATGTATAGAGATATTTTTTGAAATTTTAGCAACAGATTCTTGTAGTAAAGGCAAACATATCGCATATTTTAAGCATCAAGCACGTATGGGTGAGCAAACTACGCAACGCTAAGTTTCTTATTTATAAAAATATTTATGCCATAGGTATAACTTATTTTCTTTTCACACACAATTAGTCCGTTATATGAACTTTCGAAAGTACTTAACAATTCATGGAAAATGCGTTAAGGTTATTCGCCTTAAGGCGAATACATTTTTTTCATTTTTTAAGAATGTTTCGGAAACATTAACTACAATGTTATGAGGAAGTAGATACTGGTGCGAGAACGGAATGTATCAAGAGACAATAAATTAATGGGAAAAAACCGTGAACGTCACTTGCGATCGTGATTTTTGCAACATCCTCAAAAAAATTAACTGGGACTGTCGAACACTCCGCAAAAGCCTTATTGCAAATCCTGAAATTCCAGGATGTGTGGACGCTCTTACACGCTCATACAACAGAAATAAAAGAAGCATCAAAGTTGAACGTAACATGGGGTCATACAAGTGGAGCAGTGTTCAATACATTGGGAAAAGATTTTATGAAGCCTGTCGATATAAACTTACAAAAGTAGTGTACTTCCAGAGGTACTCCAAATCTACTAAAAAGTCCTTTCACCAAAACGTCTGCCACAGTTGTCACTTCTTTATTTGGTATAGCATGTACTTCTGTTAATTTTCGTCTATCCACATTATATTGCCTCATTAGTGCTTTCTTCGTTCCTACTGGTCCGTTGTTTGTGGCACAAACTGCACATTTTCTGCACCATTCCTTCACAGCTTTTTGCATCTTAAGCAAGGTTTGCATCGGAATTACGATTCGTCCCGCGGGGCGTTCTGTCACACAATCGTAGAGACTTCATTGGATTAATGACGACTAACAGTTCCCTTCGAGTGCCACAATTGCGTTCCGGTCTTGAGAAAACTTTACTGAAAAATCCGATGACGCTCTCGTGCTCATCTTGCATTTGTGATAGTAGAGCACCCATTCCAACATTGTTATCGTCCGTATCTAACACGAAGTCCCCTTCTCTTCTACGATAGCTGAGATGGACGGTGGACCTGTCTGTAGGTATGGATTGAACGGTGTTTTGGCAGGTACACCTTTAGGTGTGTCGCTACCATAACACGCAATATTACAGGTGTAACCGAGATACCGGTCTGTGGGCGACTGTATCCCCTTGTAAAAGCGGCCTTAACCTCTCAAACGTTGTGGGGGCGTTACACAAACAAAGCGTATGACTGTAAATTGGTTGGGCATCTACCGCATTTATTTTATGTGTTACCATATTGCTTCGGCCGACAAGTCCTTTCTCTGAAGCGTCTTGGTAGCGGCAAATTAACCTTTTAGCTTGGTCCTTTTGGATTACATGAGGCTGTGATCATGCCTTGAAGTCTTTCTCGACACTTCTAAATGTCATCACAACACGCGATTGCAGCTACTGGGGCATACGTTCCATTTTGGATTTGGTCGGGAATGAGTTCAAATTCATCATCCGAACAGGTGTTAGTTGTTCAGCATTTACTAGCACCTTTCCAATCAAAATTTGTTGACCCATATTCGTATAATTGGGTTCCCTCACTCCCAAGCAGTTTTCCTGGAGACTTTCATTCATGCGACCCATAACAACTTCCTCGCAACACTTCGGCAGGGTGGCATCATCCACAAGGATTACACGTAGCAGCTCGTCTCCTTCTCTGTGAAAAGGAATTTCTTCATGATCTACTCGAAGTACTTCATTCTGTAGACTATCGTGAACCCTCATCAAGTCCATTCCTAATAATATATCACCTCACTGGGTGGACCATAGTGATTTTCCACCGAATGTCAGCGGCTTAACTCGAATTTTTGTTGTACCAATACTTTCACACGGTTGAGGGCTTCTTTCGGGAGATGATTGCGGAGCAGCAAGGAAATCTTGTCTTATTATGGATGACACATCAGGTGTTCTGTGTTTTTCGGCCAGTGAGATAAATTTTCTTCGTCTCTTGGTATTTGACTTTTATTTCATTTTCTACAATATGAGTCTTATTTTGGACACTCTGTATCTGTATCATACTTCTTGTTGACCCTCTTCGATTTTATATTCTATATGACCTGGTGACCTGCTTTCATTTCTTGCATTAATTGCAGTTGCTCCATTTTTTCCGACGTAGATCTGGTCACTACTGGGAGAAACTTACACGAATTGTTTACTAAACACTACCCCACACCTGACACCAGTGTAACAGTCTTGAAATGATTTTTTAAATATTTGTTTCCCCCTTTATTTTTCAGTGGGCGGGGTTTCAGCCAGGTCTGCTCTACCAACCCAACCCACTATACATCTACAAATTAGCCATGCCCGAACCCGGATTCGAACCGGGGACCCTTAGAATCACATTTCACCTTTAACTGAACTGCGCCATACGGGCCGATTGATTTATAACAGTTACAATATTATTTATCACTTACACGATTTTTAACTATCTTACTTCGGCGTTCAAATAGGTACTGTCTAAAACGAAATTCGATTTGCTTATATAGCTAACGCCCCTCTTTCTCGAATGTTCTGGAACGCTTCCGAGCGCTCTCGATTGTTGTAGAATGTTCTCAAACAAACACATCATGTTACCCGGAAAGAATGCATCGTGTCCGCTTTCGTTTCTAATCGCCGATTACTAATCTTTTAGAGCGCCTCAATGTCTATTGAGAGTTCTAGAATATTCGCTACAATATATACATAAAACGGTTGTATATAACACGAAAGAATGAGATCATATAAAATAAGTACCTATTCCTTATACCAATCTCATTTGTGAGCTAATAGGTACCTATCTCTAACAAGCACAATACGCCGATACGTGTAATTTTTCGTGGTATTTTGGATGTAGGTAATGAATATACCATTATTCTAGCAGGATAACCTAAAATGATGTGGCATACCTACATTATAAGAAACGTTTATTTGTCTACATATTCTAAACGCTTCTTGCACCAGCTTTATGAGTATTGACAAGCATTATACCTAATTTTGAAACGTAGAATATGCCCAATTTTTATTCGTATTTTGGAGGAAGTAAACAAACCAATACTATACCTAGCGTGGCAAACTAAAGAAGTGTTCTATATATATAATACTTTTATCGAAATAAAGCTAAAGAAAATCGTTTGTTCATATGCATGTAAGCGGAAATTATCACGTTTTGTTACCGCTCGCTAAGGCAGCTTTATTATCAGGGGGTGCGCGAAGGAGCGCGGTCCACATATGAGGACTTCGTACGCGACATCCAAGAAAGACGGTCGAGAAATAGAGCAATGTAGCGAGCCATTGTTACTGTTCAATAAACGCCCATTGCAAATTGTTGTATAGTGTTTAATTTAGGAGTGCAATACCCCTAATCCTTTACATCGTTATTAAGTAATTTTACATACATACGTAGAATGTAACGTAGAACATGAACTCTAAGGGTTAGGTTATAGATGAATAAAAGTATTATTTTAAACTTAAGGTATAAAATTGGTCCACAAAAACGTATACCATACTACCAATACCGAATTTATCATGTCGAACCGTTTATAGCCATTTATTAAACGTAAGTGTGTTGCCTGGGGAGAGAGTGGGGTAGAAAGAGGGAGTAAGTCATTAGCTTATTAAATCCTTGAGAATACTATCCATAGCATATGGGTTATCCGCAGGTACCTGAAATGTAGCCAATTAACAGCCGCTACCACAATATGAATAAAGACTTACCCTGTGGCCAGCCCTGTTAACCCAGTAAAGTGCAAAATTTCCCAGTTTCTTTTGGTAACCCTCATTAACCCCATTCACCGAGAGTACTGTTCTAGGAACTGTTGACCATTCTCTGCTTCTTGACCATTTCATGTTGTCAACCCACACTACTGTACCAAGCGTATCAACAATAAGGTCTAATTGACCACTAACTACTTGTACCTTTAGATTCGTTTCGTCTAATACTTTTGCAACTATAAACTACCGTTGTACGTACATACTTCGTTAACGAATTTGAATAATTACCTATATCAACAACAGGCTTCATAAAATCTTCTTTCAACGCATTGAATAATGCTCCCCTCATTTGGCCCCACGTTACGTTCAACTTTAGTGCTTCCTTTACTTCTCCCTTCATTAGCAAACCAATTTTATAAGAAACTTCGTCCACACATGGTGGAACGTCAGGGTTTGCACTAAGGCCTCTGTGGGATGTTTGACACTCAGTTTTAATTTTGTTGAGGATGTTGTAAAAATCAACATTATAAGCCACGTCCACAATAGTATATCCGGTCTTAAACCATGAATCTGTTGCCTCTTTGAACATTCCGTCTTCTATATATTTCTGCGTGCGCCTCGCACTGGCATCTACTGTCTCATAACCTTGGTGGTCTATGGCCCCCTTAAATATCTGTTGGTACTTCATGACATAATATAACAGTAATACTTACAACATTAAGTAGGAGTGGTGCCCAATTTAGCACAGAGTCTATTGGCGATATCCAAGCGTCGATCATGTTTACTCCTTTAATGTTGGGAAACCCTCTCTGTAAAATACACATAATTACAATTTATTTGTTTATAAATGTACTACCTTAAATAATTCTAGGGCAAATTGTACAGCCATTTTTCCTCCATACGATTGCGATGCAATGTAAAGAGGTACATAGCGAAATTCTGGCCTTTTGTTATAAAAACCTTGGAGACATGTTACAAGGTCATCCGCAATTTGCTTGTTGGTTGTTGTCAAATACGTTGTGTCGTTAACGTAGCTGTATCCTGCCCCAACGGGATTATCAATGAAAAGAAGATTCACATTCTTTACCCAAGTATGATCTCTAGGAATTCGATTGTGATCTATAGGTCCAATTTCCCCTAAATTTCCGAGACCAGTAGATGAAGCGCCCGGGCCTCCTTGTAGCCATATAACAAGCGGTTTTTTGGTGATATTGGCTACAGGCGCGGTTGTTTCGTACAACCACCAAAATTCAAAGGCACCAGGTCTTACTTCAATGTAACCCCAATCTTGCTCGCCTGGTCCAAATCCTTGTCGACCTAAAATAAAGTATAAAATGCTTATATGTATTGTTTAAAGACAAAAATAAATTAGGTTTTAGATTATTGTTATACCAATGGGATATCAAGAAACATTTATGAATGTATTGGGATTTACGTGTAATTACCATAGCATGTGGCTGCTAGTAAGCAAACGAGCACAAGAATCTTCATCGTGCTTTGAAGAATAACTCGGTAAGTAGTAATTCATAAACACCTTTAGCGGCTTTATACACCTACTAGTTCCATATCTGTTTCCTGTGTAAATAGATAATATAGAGATAAATAAGCAATTCGCCAATATAGTTAAATAAAAAATACCGATATGGAAACAAAATGAAGAAGGAGTTTAGTAGCAATTACACTGTCAATAAAATCTGATCGAAGAGTCGGGTTGTTTATGTGTCGGTGCTCCATGGTTCAAACTTTATGGGTGATAAATGACAAGAGTAAATGAAATTTTACGAATCTGCTATTTTTTATCATTGATTTCTGTGGTATCAATAACTACCTATGCCACTTAAAGACATTGTAATTCACTTGGAGTGTTTATTCCGGGGTAATTACACAAGAGGTTGATTCTTAATCAGATAATTTTATTTTCTCTAAATCGTCATTAAACCTTGATTTTAATGCTCATTATACGCCCGCCGCCAGAAACAAATACCAATAAAGTTATTTCAACAGATGGTGTGGTAGAAATTACGTTATTTTGTGGACAGCTAGTCCTGACCTTGTTTTTATTGAGTTTTATAAAGGGCCCCGTTCCAGAATATTTTGTCCACAAAAGGGAAGACCAACCTTAATTTAATTTGTCTAACTACAAAATGCTCTCCTGGAAGTGCCACTGAATAAGTCGTTGTCAACGGAACATATTATCCTCGCCATTAGAGATTTCCGGTACGTCATAGTTCACAATCGTATGGTTTAATATGAAAAATATGAGTCAAATTACTTCCGTAATAATGCCAACTTGATTAGAAAATATACTCCGAGATGGCGACAGCTGTCATTTATTGGATATTTATTTGAAGGTTCAAAACTGTCAAATCGCAGAAAGTATCGTTAGTCGATTTTGGTTTTTAATTGGTACAAAATATAACGTAATAAAGACGGTGAGAAAACAAAATCCTTGTAATCTAACAGGTCATTAATGCATTATTTTTACAGGCCATATGGTAAGATAAACCCACTGTTGTAAGCTGCCTCATTACAATGGAATTTTTCCAAAAATGTGAACATTTATTAATTACGCTACGTCAGAATTATTACAATGGTCGGGTGTTGCATTCATAAGTGAGTTTGTCAATAAATAATTATAAATTCACAATTAGAGCATTCAATTTATAGGTTATACGATTTTCATACACCCAGCTGCACATTGCAAGACTACCACTTTTCAAAGTTAGTCACTGTTACTTATGATGGTTTACAATAAGGATAAATTCAAAATGATACACTAAAGTCTAAATGGATATTAATTATGTTCAAAATATACTATGCGATCAAAAATGAGTTGCTGTCGAGTGGCCTTTGAAATTTTTGTTTACATTGAAAATCGTATTTAACTTCAACTTCCAAAGGCGACTCGACAGCAACTCAGTTTTGATCGCCCGTTATTATAATATACGACTGTCACTATCACTCTACTTTCATATTTATACTTTTTTTACATGTGCGTGACAGGTAAACAATTAAAAATCACAAGTGCCAAACAAATATACGGAAGAACTATTTTAGTCAAATGAGAGTTCAAATTCATACGGTTTACAAAACGCATTGGTTATTGGTTTTTGTTTTTTCTCTTTCTACCACATTATCTCATTCAATAACTCACTTCGTTTCCTTCAAATGCACTTCGAATATTCACTGTCTTTATTTGATGTGCTGTTTTTCATGTGACTTTACTATAAACGTTTTTGGTAGCTAGAGTCATTTACTTATGACGTACCGGCAATCTCTAATGGCGAGGATAATATATAGTATTCTCTACCACCTCTACTCTACTAATTCTCTAGCTAGATCAGACGGAAATATGGATATACAATTTTCCAAGGTATACCCTACTTCAATTCACACATCACGTTCACACCTTCCTCACAACATTTAAAACTAAAGAACTATTTAAAATCGAAAGCCTAGGAAAAGTGACGATGACGACGTCGAGCACAATCTATTCCATTATGAAAAAATAAAAATTACGCAAAGCTGCCATTTTGACATATGAAGTTGTTAGTTTGAACTCAAAAAATAAAGAATTGTCTCGCGTAGCACCGTTTCAAATGCCATGCTCATGACAGTATACGGTTGAAACCTTATGGGGGGGATGTCCTCACTATATAGCTATATATAGCTGTATATACCGGCTTTGTAGCTCAGTGGTAGAGTGTTAGGCTACAAAACTGGAGGTCGGATGTTCGAACCTGAGCTGAGGTAGGAATTTTTTATCTGTGGCAGAGATGGGAATTTCCTTAGATCAGTTTCGAGCATTCCGCCGGCTACTCCGAATTAGGTTTTCCTGCAGTTTTCTTAATTCCTAAGGTAAATACCGGAGTAATATAGAACAACCCAAGACCTTCTGCAGGGGCACCCCTAAAAAGCATTATGCTGGGGTACTTTAATTGAGCGTAAGCCTGGTTCAGAGCCTAGAACAGGAGAGACAATAAACAAATAAATAAAAATATCGTGCGCAGTTTAAGAAGGAATTTACGTGCATCCCATATCCGGAAGGCCCGCCCTGAACTCTCGGCTTTCCAAAAAACTGCTGCTTCTTCAAAATGTACATTCGGCTATGATTTTGCTGGAAGTCGAAACGTGTATGTTTGACTTAGGGGTACAGGCCAAGAGTTTCTGTGAGCCGGAAAGCTGAAATGAGTTTAGTTTAGTAGTTTTAGTGTTCTGCAATAGTATTAATAACTATATGGTAAAGTCCGACAATTTTCATGGTCTAGAGGTCGCATTAGCCCCCCAACCCTATTATTTAGCTGTGGGTATGTTATTACTATGTCTTCTTGCACTATTCAACATCCCTGAAGCGCATTTTATCTCTGTATTTCTACATATCTATATATTTAAAGAACAGTAGGTGTCCCAAGTTGTAACCCCAAGTTGACATCAGGTATGTTGGTATAGAAAACTTCTATTTTGTAAAATTCAACTTGAGACACGCTTATTGTTTTTAAAAATGTAATTCGGATATCGGAGACAATAGAAAAGATTCATTGTAATAAATATAATATAGTTCACATTTCCAATGAGCCTTATACATGTCTACCAGGTGGCCTATTAATCTTGAAACAAACTACGCACAATTCTATGATAACCTTCATTTGCAAAAATTCTTGAAAAAGCGAATGAAAAAGTGCAAATGTCAACAAAACCGGTACTTTGCGCAAAATATTTGTTTAAGTACTACTTTTTCTTGCCCATATTACAGAAACTAGTTAAAATCGTGATCTCGCAACCGACGAAAGCACATTTTCCCCGATCAGAATGAGTAACTCGAAAAGGAAGTGACCAATCCAAATAAACTTTGGTCGTTCTGGGCTCTGTGCTGTACTACACCGTATATAAGAAAGAAACCACAACGGAAAAGCTTAAACTGGAGGAGTAGTAGTGCTAGTGGTACAGACCAAAACGTTCATTTCCCTTTTGGAATTTCCTTATGAAAACATGTAAACAACGTGCAAAGAGGGAATTATGCCTGAGGAATTGTTCGGGTTCAAGAACATATATCAGTTTAATTACGCCGTATCACTCTCTTTTACATTACCTTGTGAAATTTTCGGCATTATTTATTTGGTAGGGTTCGTCCTGCGAGTAACCAACATACATTATATTACACCTGGTGGTGAAACTTAGCAAGTTGGAATCACATCAATTAACTCCGAGTTACGTATGCATGCCCGGTACCTCAATTGCTCTGACAGGGCGAAAAACGGAGAAAAAGCTCAGGGCGATCCTTTTTTGCAGAAGATGCCAGTTCCCCCTAACCCATTCGACATGAAACCTACTGCAGGAAGAAGAAGAACAGCTTACCAAGCACCTCACTATGACCGGATTTCGCTAAATAATCTTCAGATGAATTCTCTGTAGTAAAAATCAAAACATTTGTGTTTTCTAGGTTCTGTTTTGTGAAATTGAATTTTTTTTTTAAATTTAAATAATTAAATAAAGTTCAACTTAGAGTCACTATCTTCAATAAAGACCCCAAGCTAGAAAGGTTGTGTGTTTAAAAGCTAGGCAATGTTAGTCATTAATATTTAGACTCTACATTAAATATATCTGCTTCTAAATTTTACCTCAGCTTCAAACTGACATTGACATTAATAGTATATTAAGATACAATAGTGTACAATCAAGTCTTTAAGGCACACGCAACGAGTTTAACGTTGCAAGTGCTTTAAACACCAATTGTACACAGTATCTTATAGTATTTCTTATTATACCTGTAGTATAATTTAAAAATAGGAAATACAATGAAATCATATTGCCGTTATACTCGAATACATGTCTAATTAACTGGGCTGGGTGTTCGTAATTTCACGATTGGAAATGTCACTTGACGTTTGCTTATAAAAATCATCGTCTTTGTGAATAAAACGATTTCCGTTGAAAAGGATAATACATCGTCCTTTAAATCGCTTGTTGTAAAATCTAAACAAACGTTGGTAGGTGTAAAAAAATCCAATCCAGTAAAGCCTATTATAAAGAATATGAAAAGTTGTTTCCATGGGTGAATAGGAAGTTACTTACGAATAAACTCTTAAATGCATCGATAATGCTGGTATAGGTATATGAAGGAAATGTCAAAGGTATTTAAATCTTTTGGTGCATTCATTCAAAACTTCAAACACCCAGATGACAGTTTCAAAAGTCATCCTTGAAGTATCATTAGGGGAGACCGGGGTATAATGATCCCCCTAAGCTTAAAATTTCAATAGGTCGGCATCTAAGTGAATAACAAATGTTGTTCCCCATAAGAGTTATTGACAATACTTAGGGCGATTATAATAAGCATCATTTTTAGTTCACCCGAAAATCATTTTTGGAATTTACTAATTTTTTTGAAAGTCTATAAAAGGATCATATTACCCAATAGTGTGAGGTCAAATGATCCCGTTCATGGGTAAAAATGATCCCCCCTCTATATATATATATATTTATTTATTTTTTAAACAAAGTAACACAACTACATTAAGTAAAACAAAAAAAACATGAAATTCTGTAAAGTATT